CTGTTAGAGTCTTTCTGCAACACTGCATTTGCTTTGCTCCTGAATCTGCTGGCTTTCCTCCGTCTGACCGTGAGGAATGAAACGTGTCCCTCTGCCATCTTCTCCAGCACTCAGCTCACGGCAGCCCCTCAGTACGTGATTTTTGAAAGAACGAACAACCCTTCCCCCTCCCCATGCCCCGGTTGGGAAGGGTCCTTGGCCCCTACGCACACACACCGCCTGGTAACAGCACAGCACCCCTTCCCTGGTCCCCCTGAGAAACCCCTGGGGCATTCTAGACACCTTCCTCAGTTGACCCCTCATGGCTCCCACACTCTCTCCAGCTTAATCCCATCTCCATCATCCAGGCAGGGCTTTAGTTCTGCCCCTCATCCTGTCTTGCCCGGCTCCCCGAGCCTCGCCGCCTCTGATGCTCCAGCGTGTCCCCGTGTCCTGCCTCAGAGTTCTCTCTCTAAGAGGCAAACCTGCTCAGGTCACCTCTCTGCTTAAAACCCCTCTGTGCTCCCACCTGGCCGAGCCTACCTATCCAGCCTCCAGCACTCATCGGGCAGCTCCCCACCTTCTCCCTTCTCCCCTCCTGACCCCTGCCTTCCCTGCCCTCTGGCCTGTGCTCGAGCAGCTCCAAGCCATGTGGAGGTCCACAAGCACACCATGCTTCTCCAGCCTCCTTTCCACCTGCCTGACCACCCCCTCCCAGCGCTTCACCTTCCTCTGGGAACCAGAGAGAAGCTCAGAGGTCATTTTTTCCAGGGCCCATTCAGGACCTGCCCCTTCCTGGCACGGAGCCCACGAAGGCCTTGGGCACAGCAGGTGTTCATGAAATAACTGCTGAATGGGTGAGCAGAAATATGGTCCTCTCCTTCCTCCCTGGACCCAGTCAGCTGCAGCTCCAGCTGGTCCCATCCTGCTCCCTGGGCCCCAGCCCAGCCCTGTGCTCCTGACACAGACTTGGCACCAGTTCCAGAACAGCTGCCAGGCCCCTCTGTAGCCTTCCCTTTCCTAGGGAAGGATGGGCAACGACCGGCTTGGCCTTTTTATTTGTAAAGAAAATAATTAAAAGTCTAAACAAAAGAAGGGTTTTTTTAAAAAAGAAATAAATAACTTTATATTTTGAAGTGCTCTATAGCTGCGGTCCCCAACCTCCGAGCTGTGGACTGGTACCAGTCCCTTGCCCTGTTAGGGACCGGGCCACAGAGCTCTGCCTCCCACCCCCACCCTCATCCATTGAAAAATTGTCTTCCATGAAACTTAGGGACCAGGGGGCCACACAGCAGGAGGTGAGCAGCAGGTGGGCAAAGCGAAGTTACAGCTGCTCCCCATCGCTGGCATCATTGCCTGAGCTCCGCCTCCCCCTCCTTGCTCCCCACCCCCACTCCTGTCTGTGGAAAACTTGTCTTCCATGACACCAGTCCTTGGTGCCAAAAATTTTGGGGACCACTGCTCCATACGTAAAGTATCTCCTGGGAGACAGAAGGTGAGATGACATGGTCCCTTCTGCCTTGAATAAAATTCTAAGAATACAGTATTACTTGTCTACCAAAAAAGACACTCCACTTCACTCCACTCCACTCTACTTCATTATTCTTCTGATTAACCTATACTGGGGCGAGGGGTGGAGGACTTTCAAGTAATAAGAGAAATCTCCTTGGCACGTAGAGCTCGTCTGTCTTGAGCTGTATCTAAGAAAGCTCCTGATGCCCTTGTCACCCCTGTTGCCAGCCCCAGCATCGCAAGCAGAGCATGCAACGATGAGGTTTTTTACCTTAATAACTGTCTGCTAAGAAGGAAATTTTTTAGCAACACAAACTAAGCTCTAGCAAGAAAAAGCTCTAAGAAGCCTGGATGATGAAGGGCAAGAAAAGCGTACAGCAAAGCAGGTTACAGCCAGAATCTTCACTCCCCGCCCCCCACCAGCTGGACACTCTACCTTGGGTGAATTCTTCAACCTTTCAGAGCTCCAGATCCCTTTTCCATATGTGGATCAGAATGTGTGTCTCTGAGGGCTCTTTATGAAAACGAAATGAGATGTTGTTTGTGTAGCAGGATGTAAGAAGCATTGTGGTCTCAGCTTGGGCTGAAGCCACAGGACAATGGATGACACATTCCAAAGTGAGCTGTGACACCGAAGCCATCACACAGAGCTTAGGAAGGAAGTGGCATGAAGCTGGTTTCCCTCTTACCTGACTACCTCCAGCCCACACTGGAGGCCGGATAAGGAAAACAGCTGGGCGAGTAGAGGGGAATTTTGGAGTGAGCAATAGGTGCGCTGCAAGTCCCGATTGCCCACTCCCTGCCCCCCAAGAGTGGCCTCAGAGACACTGTATCCCTGGAGCCAGGATGTCACTGAGGGCTGATGTCTGAATCAGCCTGAGAAACCCAAAGTGCAAGAGAGATGGGTGGTCAGCTGGAGTAGGAGAGGGGGGTGGCTTCGGATTTGCCGAGGTAATGGAACTTGAGTATTTTCCATAAGCCAGAGGTGTACCAGGAACCAACCTGTGGGTCTTGTAGGTCCTTTGCCAAGGGCAGTGGAAACTCCTCTGCAGAAAGAAGCTGACAGCACCTGTTATGGGCTGAATCGTGTCCCCCCAAATTTATATGATGAAGCCCTTACACCCACTACCTCAGAATGGAACCATACTTGGAAATAGGGCCTTTAAAATGGTGATTAAGTTCAAATGAGGCCCTTATGGTAGGCTCTATCCAATCTGACTGGTGTCTTTATAAGAAGAGGAAGTTGGATGCACAGAGAGACCCCAGGGATGCGCACGCACAGGGAAGACCGCGTGAGGACACAGTGAGAAGGTGGCCATCTGCAAGCCAAGGAGAGAGACCTCAGGAGGAACCAAATCTGTTGACACTTGAGCTTTGACTTCCAGTTACCAGAACTGTGAGAAATTAACTTCTGTTGTTTAGGCCAACCAGTCTGTGGTATTTTGTTAGGCAGCACTGGCAAACGAACACAGCACTGCTCATATGCCTGGGAAGTAAGGAAGGAGTCTTAGCCAACCAGCTGGAAAGGACCAGCAGTTCAGAGATGCCCAAAGATGAGAAGGAAGGGTGTTCTCTGAAGTATCCACAAAATTGTGCCAAGAGATGAAGAATGGGGTTTAAATATCCACCAGGCCCAGCCAGCAATGCCAGCTTACCACAGCGTTAATCAAGAAAGACCATCCAGCACCTTCTCGCCTCCTCTCTTCTCTCCTTTCCCCTGCCAGGCGTCAGACTCCTCCGTGAGCCAGGTGAGGGAAGCACAGGGGGAAGGAGAAGCTAACCACAGACCCCGTTGCCGGCTGCAGGCCCCACCGGAGGAGGGGGAGGGGTCTCCACTAGGAACAAAATCCGACGGTCTGGCCTGTTCTGCAGGACTGGGCACACCCATTGCTGAATGAGACCGTGTTGGAACTAGAAGTGACCAAAGAACTTTTGATTTCTGAAGGGCAGGCAGAAGAGTCCCAGACCTGCCTTAATTTTCATCCCAGGGCAAGAGAGAAGTGAGGACCCAAAGAAAAAATTGAGGGACAGCAATAGACAAAAAGAAAGTCAGCTTCCTGAACATAGGCCGTGAGCCCTGTTTATTTCACACACGTCCTCTACATATGTGGCACCTTAGTCCAGTCTCTGGCCAAGAAACAGATGCCATTCATTGAGCAATCCTTCAGATTCCTTCACTGTCACCATTGGGCAATTCCACCTTCTTCAAGTGAGACAAAAGCCGATGACAACAGACAAATCATTTGAAAGTTCTACATTCCTTGAGCTTGGGTGCAGACGTTCTATAAAGCCAGGGACTGAATGCCACTGTCTATACCCCATGACCTAGAGAAGGAGACTAACTCTGAACCAGCAGAGCCGAGGAGGCTTTAGATTCATATAACTCTTCAGAAAAAAGTGAGTTCAAATCCAGGCTCTGCCGTTTAACAGCTATACGACCCTGGTTGAATGACTTAACTTTTCTGTACTTTAATGTCCTCATCTACAAAATAGAGATAATAAAGTGTCCATCTGACAGGGCTATCATGTGGACGAATGAGGAAATAGACGGTAAGCACTTAGAACATTGCCCAGCACAGGGCAAAGGACTCACACACCTAGTTATCATTATATGTCATTGCCTCTCAAAGGGAAACCTTGTGATGACCTTGCTTTATTAGCATGATGTTGTAAAAAACGTTTTGCAAGGAGCATGGTGATAAAAAAGCACAGGTTCGGGCCGGGCGCCGTGGCTCACGCCTGTAATCCTAGCACTCTGGGAGGCTGAGGCGGGCAGATTGTTTGAGCTCAGGAGTTCGAGACCAGCCTGAGCAAGAGCGAGACCCCATCTCTACTAAAAATAGAAAGAAATTAATCAGACAACTAAAAATATATAGAAAAAATTAGCCGGGCATGGTGGCGCATGCCTGTAGTCCCAGCTACTCGGGAGGCTGAGGCAGAAGGATCACTTGAGCCCAGGAGTTTGAGGTTGCTGTGAGCTAGGCTGACGCCACGGCACTCACTCTAGCCCGGGCAAAAAGAGTGAGACTCTGTCTCAAAAAAAAAAAAAAAAAAAAAGCACAGGTTCTAGAACCAGACTGCCTGGGTTTGAATCAAGCAAGAATCTGAGGCACATTATGTAAGTGTTTGCTATTATTGCTGTTAATACAGTGAGATGTATACAGTAATGGATATGCACATACAATACACATAGTAAGAGCTTACTATCAGCCACGGTTATGAAGGGAATGGTCCCCTCAGTAAACCCACATGGGCCCTGAAGATTCTGGTCACCCAAAGATACCAGAGGCATTGAACAGGGGTCAGACTGGCAGGGATATTTCTCCAGTTGGGAAGCTGCGGCACTTGACTTCTGTTGCTTTGCTTGTTTATTTGTTTACCAGAAGACAGTGGCTCTCAAGCAAACAGGGCATCTGAAACCCAGAAACCCATCCTCCTGGGCTGGACCCCAAGCCATCGCCTGCAACCCCACTCCCACCCCCGAGCTCTCAGCCTCTCTCTTGTGTTACCTGGTCTGGTTTCTTCTTCCAGGACAGGTCCCACCTTGCAGGGCAGAGGTGAGGGACCACAGCCTTCCAGACTCCTGAGAAGGGGACGTTCCGACGGGCCTGGCACCCCCTGGGCCTGGCTTGCCACTCACTGACTGAGGGCCTGAAGACCGATGGAGAAGCAGGCGGAAAATATGAAAAGCTGATATTCCCCCCTACAGGAAATCATTGTTCAGCCGATTCCAGAACTGAAAAAACAAGTGTGACATTGGAGAAAGGAGGGTAAAGTGTAATTCAAGGCCATTGTCACAGCCACTGCTCTGTGTGGTGGGGAAACAAAGGGAGTCTGTGTACGTGAGGACAATGCTATTGTGTTACCAGTCGCTTCTGTCTTCCTCCCGGGGATAGGAGGACGAGAAACAAGGCCACAGTGACTTCCCAGGTGGACTCCACTACTCATAGCAACCAGGCCAATCAGAGCTGGGACAGGAGTGTTGGACAGCCAGCCCCTGGCATTCTGCAATGGGGCGCAGGGGACACATCCTCAGGAGTGACCAGCTGCCTATGTCCTCACCTTCTATGCATAGCAAACCCAAATGCCCCTCTCCTCTTCTCTAACCAGCTTTCAGAAACTCACCGCAAGTTAGAGCTGAAAAGAATCAGAGGTATCATTTCTCCAAACACACATGTCATCTACACCAACTCCTGGCTTTTGTGATGGGGCACCTGGCCAGGACCAATGCCCCGCCATGTGGCTTGTTAGTAGCAGTCGTGAGGCCACACAAATCACTATGTAGCTTGCACCCACTGAACCCCCATAATGAGCCAGAGGCTGTGCTGCGAGCAAAATGCCTTTATTTGCTCCTGCCTGCAAATCCGGGCTCTGCCACTATCACACGGGGACTGCGAGCAAGTGTTTTCTCTGAGCGTTCGTTTTCCCATCTGTAAATTGGGATTATTGCTGAGTTCCTGCGAGGATTCAATGAGTTAATAAATGCAAACTGTTAGAACAGTAGTCGGCCCACAAAAAAGTGATCAAGAACTATGAACCACAAATTACATGCCCACATTACATCTGCAACTTGCTCGGGCTTGTGAGGAGATGGCATGGAGACGGCTGGAAACCCAGGATCCCAAGTACCCACGTTCAGTCCTGCTACCTACTACGGCCTACGTTTACCCCATGAGGTCCCGGGGGGAGTTGGGCACTAATAAATATGCTCAGGGATGAGGCAGGTGACGTGTGGAGAGGGCCCACTGTGACACAACAGTGAGTGGTGGAGATTGTGGGGAATCGGAGAGCCCAGGCCAGTGTTCCAGGGGCAGCCAGGGCTTAGCGGCAGCCAGCAGCTGCAACATGGAAAGGCAGGAACAACACGGCCAGGCCTGCCAATTTTTAAAGAAAAGCCAGAACTCTGGATGTTTGTGTCAAATTTCCCAAGTTTGAAACACTATAGACCAAACATGGCATTGTTAGTGCAGAGTAAGCCCCAAGCCACCCAGCTTCTGATGCCTGATCTGGACACAGATAGCATGTCCAAGCCAGTGCGTCCCTGTTGACACTCCAGGCTTTTGTCCTCCAACTTACCTGAAGTCTCCTGGTGCTATGGTGTGAGTATTTGTGTCCCCCACAAATTCATATGTTGACATTTCTCATGCCTTAGATGATGGTATTGGGAGGTGGGACCTTTGGGCAGTGATTAGGTTATGAGGGTGGAGGCCTCCTACATGGGATCAGTGCCCTTATAAAAGAGGTCCCAGAGAGTTCCCTCACCCACTTCTGCCAGTTGAGGGCACAGTGAGAAGGTGCCGTCTTTGAACCAGGAAACGGCCCTCACTAGACATCGAATCTGCCGGTGACTTGATCTTGGACTTCCCAGCCTCCAGAACTGTTAGTAATAAATTTCTGTTGTTAATAAGCTACCCAGTTTATGTCATTTTGTTACAGCAGCCCATATGGACTAAGACACCTGGTAAGCTGATCAGGCCACTTCAAAGCGGCTCTTTGACCTAGAGCAGGGGCAGTAAGTCAAAAAGATTGAGGAGCCCCTTCCTCCTGCAGCCCACCCTCATCTGAGTCCATGAGATGGGGGTGAGGAAAAGGGAAATCAGAGAAAAGGGGAGGGGGTGATGAGGGCTTTCCCTAAAGGACCACAGGCCCCTTGGCCTAACCCTGCTCCTACAGACACTCCTGTGATAAAGAAGGCAGTCAGGACTTAGTGCTGGGACCAAAGAGGAGAATGGGGGTTTGTTTAAGCTCCCTTAAGCTCCATAAGTTACCTCAAATGAACATAAATAGTCTAAATGACCAAATGTGCTTGCGATGCAAATGCAACTTCAAAACAAGATCGTTCATGAGATATGACTTCATACCTACTAGGATGGCCATAATCAAAAAGACAGATGATAACAAGCGTTGGTGAGGATGTGGAGAAATTGGAACCTTCATACCTTGCTGGTGGGGACTGTATTATAAAATGGTGTAGTCACTTTGGAAGTGGTCTGTTCCTCAAAAATTAAATATAGAGTTATCATATGATCCAGCAATTCCACTCCTGGGTATATACCCTAAGATAAATGAAACATACGTCCACACAAAACCTTTGTGCATGACTATTCATAATAGGATTATTCATAATAGCCCAAAGTTGGAAACAATCCAAATGTCAATCAACTGATGAATGGATAAACAGATTCGCATACTGTATAAGTCATCCTTTAGCTCCCCCTAATGGTGGAAAAGTATTATTATTGTTGTTGTTCCCATTTTACAGATGATGAAACTAAGGTTCTGAAACGTAAAGTAGGTTGCCAGCAGCACACAAGAGCCAGGAACTGAACCTGGGTCTTCTTCCAAAGCCTAAGGGACCCCTTCCATTCATATTATCTTCACTACTGCTAGGTTGATTATCCAGGAACATCCTTAGTTTGTTCTTGCCCCCTGAGGAAGGCAGTCAGACATCTAAACAGAAGAAACATGAGTTTTCAGCTATGGTACAACAAGGAGATACGTACAACTTGATGGTTAACAGCACAGACTATGGAGCCAGATTGTCCAAGTTTGAATCTGAGCTCTGCCACTATTTAGCTGTGTGACCTTAGGCAAGCTACCTAACCTCTCTGTTAAACTTTTATAACCTTACACAGTGTTTGAAGGCCAGAAGCCCAGGAGTGGCTTAGCTGGGTGGTTCTGGCTCAGAATCTCTCATGAGAGATTGGCTGTTGGCCAAGGCTATTGCCATCTTAAGGCTCTACCAGGTCTGGAGAATCTGCTTCCAAGCTCGGTAATGAGGTTGTTGGCTGGCGGCTTCAGTTCTTTTCCACGTGAACCTCTCCATAGGACTGCTGACAACATAGCGGCTTGCTTTCCCCAGAGCAAGAGATTCAAATGAAAGAGAGAAGGCAAGCAAGAAAGCACCCAAGACAGGAGACAGGCATTTCTTTTTTTTTTTTTTTTTTTGGTGCAGTCTTTTATAACCTAGTCTCAGAAGAGATATACCATCACTTCTGCCATCTGCTATTGATTACACAGACCAATCTGGTACAAGGTGGGAGGGGTATACACTAGGGTGTGAATACCAGAAGGCAGGGATCATTGAGGGCCATCTTGGAGGCTGGTGACCACACTCCCCATCTTTCTAAAGTAAGACAAGAAGCCACAGTCCTACAAATAACAAGGCAATATCCTCTCAGAAAAGTCACAGAAATTAATCTTAGTCTAGCCACCTTTTTTGGGGTGGTTGTTTATTTAACAAACGTTCATTTCACCCAAGGCATTGGGCCCAACTCTATGTATACAGGCAGGAATTAAACCCAGAGCTTACAGTAAGTTATGCCAAAAAACAAGAATCAGGCTATGTGGTTCTTGGAAAAGATGGAGTGGCCAGGAAAAGAGCTGGAATCAGGACTCCGTGACAATATGGTTCTAAAATCTTCTAGACCAGATATGGGTTCATCCTTAGACAACCTGACTTTTGTTTTCCTGGGCCTTGACAACATCCCCACAGAAAATGTGGGGAAAGGAGGAGGCGGGGAGTAGGAGGCAGAGGAGCATATGTCCTTAGCAGCTTATCAATTTCTGGAATTTCACATTAGATATTCTTTCTTAAGTTTGAATTTGTCAGAACCCATTTTTGAAGCCAGAATTTGCTTAGGAAGAGGGGGAGGGTGGGGTGGACAGCAAAGAGCCAACCAAATACCCGATTGGGTGGAGGAGGGAAATGTCCGATGCTGGGTGGGGCTGGGGGGTGAACAGCAGGGGGTGAAAATGCTTCCTTAAAGACTAAATTATAGGACTTTACAATTTCAGTCTATTTTGACATAGAACGTCTCAGCAGTGGGCAAATCAGAGTCCAGTATTGCCCTTTCAAACCCACGTGTTACATTCATTATAATTACCTTGTCGAATACATGAATTAAATCATTTCCATCAACAGCCTCCCACATTTCACCCCTGTCATGGGTGTAATGAGAACCTAGCGGGGTAATAGCTTTCATTCGATCTTCTTCCTAGCTCCTCTCCCAAACACTTCCTTACCTGTTCTTCAAACCAGATCTCCCTAGGCCTACAGGAAAGCTGATTAAAAACCCTGAATGATTCCGTTTCCCAATGTGGATAAGGCTAATAATACCAGCTCCTGCCTACTCCATAGACAGAAAGGAAACTATACGTGCAAAGAGATTTTGTATTCTTCAAGACAGGATGTGTGTGTGTGTAAATTCCAAGAATTCCAGTACGCACAACTTCATTGTAATTCCAAGCACGGTACACCAATCCCTCCAAGGCTCCTGTCAAGCCCCCAGGTGCATTCCCCAAATCAGCCAGCCCACTCACATGGGTCAAGGGAAAACCAGAGTTTCCCTGACCTGGTAAGTAGACAAGTCAAGCTAGTTTCGTCCCCCTGAAAACCATTCTCCGCCCGCGTCCTCCCAGGTCCTCGGTCCTAGCGTTTAGCCATCTGGCCTCCGCGCCCTACTTGGCCCCTCCCTCGCCTTCAGCTCCGCATCCCCAATGGCTTCCCCCACCCTGAAGGACGACAGCCCCCGGCATGCCCCGCGGTGGCGGCCAGGCCACGTGACCGCGCCTCTCCCGGAACTGCGGTCACGTGATTCGGAAAGATGGCTGCCCTGACAGCGGAGCATTTTGCCGCGCTCCAGAGTCTGCTGAAGGT